GGCAAGTTTTGGTAACAGATGAAAAATATTAAATTGCAATATATTTAACAAAGCACAGCCAGGGCACCCCCAAAGAGGGATTTGTAACCAGATCTAGTACTCAGGGTGTCCAGGAAATATGAAAATATAGGATATCTGTACCCCCACAAATCTCAACTGGGGGATGGGACACATGGAGCAGGGCCATTGAGTCATTTTGCACTTCAACAGTTGACCTGCTTCATACCTGATATGCAAAAATGGTTATTTTACATATGTATAACTGCTGGCTAGCTTCAGCAGAAGGCTAGATCTGTTAAGTAGCTATGGCCATTTGAGCCAGGGAGGTGGGAGTGATTTCAACCCATGATGTAACTGGGAGGCAGCTCCCCCTGGTTACAGTGCTTGCTTGAGAGCTTGAAGATAGTTATCGCCACGCCACAGGGCCACGCCTGCCTGGACTAACTATGACAGCCAAGAAAGGCTGGCAAAATATGGGAATGCTTGCAGGTGTAGCTGATTGTGGGAGGTGTCAGAAATGAGGTTACAGAGGAAGATTTATATGGGGATTTAAAGCCAAGTATGGCAACCATGCAGGTTGGAACCAAGGGGTTTTGGGGCTCCTTTAACCACACAGCTTAGGAAGTAGGAGAGACAATGCAGGACTATAGACAGGCACAATGCAAGACCTTGCAGGAAAGGAAAGGGTTTGAAAGGACTCTCTCACTGGTGGGCTATGAGAAGGTGCCATGTGATTTTGGATTAAGAACTGGAGATCGCGGGAACACAGCTGATGGTGCTGGGAACTGCAGAAAGCCTGTCAGCCAAGCACAGATGACTGAGAGGAACAAGGAGAAGTGGGCTGCAGACTTCTGTTTTTTTTCCCCTGAGCTATAATATCCAAGACTGGCCTGCCAGGGCAAACGGGGAAGGAAGAACTGTGTGTGTCTATGGGTGTTTTAAGGGACTTTGGAATTTTAACGAAGATATTAAGTCATTACTCTAAGTCTGTCTAACTTTTTTTTAAGATGTTATTTATCTATTTTTAGAGAGAGAGGAAGGGAAGGAGAAAGAAAGGGAGAGAAACATCAATGTGTGGTTCCCTTTCACACATTCTCAATAGGGACCTGGTGTGCAACCCAGGCATGTGCCCTGACTGGGAATCAAAACAGCGACCCTTTGGTTTGCAGGCTGGTGCTCAATCCACTGAGCCACAGCAGCCAGGGCAAGTCTGTATAACTTTTGAATAAACAGTTCCTTTCCTTTTCACCAAACTCTGACTTTGAGAGCCATAATTCCAATTCCGTGGCAACAGGCTAAGAATCCACAGTGACTGAAGGATCCCATAGCCCCTAGGTCCATTCTGTAACATATACAGATGATGCACTAGATGATGCACTTATAGACCTGTACATCTGACACTTGTACAATGTTTTTAATCAATGTCACCCAATAAATTTAATTTTAAAAGTTTATATATTATTACAACAAAAACAGAGGTTTACAGCTAAATTTAGTCACCCAATCTGGTGTTTGTTAGGGATACTGGCATAAGAGGGAAAGTCTCCAACCCCAAACAGGTCTGTGGTAACAGGTTTTATTTGTTTATATGTCTGTATAAGATTTCATTTAACAAAGTTCCATGCTAAAGAAGGGTTTGAAATAAACTCTCCTCATTTAACCCCAAATTTGAATAATGACATGAAAAAAATTCTGAAATGTCCTAAATTAAATGACAGCAGGCCAGAGGATGAAAGGTAAAGAAAGACAAGAGAAGTTAATCAGTTAACAGTTGCAGGCCAAAACCAGCAGAAGACTTTTTATATTCCTCAATATATGATTGTTGAAACTCTGAATTAACTTGCAGGTCATTATTTCCTCCATTACATAGAGAAAACAGGAGCAGAGCCAACCATCAGGGGCACCAATGCATCATGCCTATGCATGAACTTTCAGACTGTTGCCCACCATCAATCCAAAGGAGCAACCACTTTTTCCTTACAGACTCTGTGCCTACTGCAGAACTAGCCCTGCTTTACCTTCTCCTGTCCCTTACAACTTACATCTTTTTTTTAAAGGTGCATTTCAAGTTTTTTGTTTGTTTGTTTTTTAAAGATTTTATTTATTTATTTTTAGAGAGGGAAGGGAGGGAGATAGAGAAAGAAACATCAATGTGTGGTTACTGGGGGTCATGGCCTGCGACCCAGGCATGTGCCCTGACTAGGAATCGAACCTGCGACACTTTGGTTTGCAGTCTGCGCTCAATCCACTGAGCTATGCCAACAACTTACATCTTCCTTCTTCAGACTTAATGTATTGAAGAGCTCTGTCAGCTCCAGTATAGCAGCCTTGTCTTCTGCATCTAGCCCTGCTGCTGATGGTTTACAGTAAACATTCCAGGACCTGGTCCTTTTTTTCTGGCTAGCATAAACCCTTCTTTCAGAAAAACTTGAGACCATGAAGGTTTTATTTAACAACAAACACTTAAAATCAAGCTCAGAGATCTAATATAGTTTCTAAAAGACAGGCAGCTGGTCAGAGACACAGCTGATACTAGAATTAATTGCCAATAGTGTTGTATCTGCTAATCCCAACATACAACACTTTCGGTTTGGTTTTGTTTTTCTTATTAAAAAATGCTCTTCCACTCCACTCACCATGCAGATGACCAGAAAATAAAAAATACAGAATCATTAAATAAAATATATCCTGTGTCTGCCCTGGCTGGTGTGGCTCAGTGGATCAAGTGGCAGCCTGCGAACCAAAGGGTTGCCGGTTCAATTCCCAGTCAGGACACATACCTGGGTTGAGCCAGGTCCCCAGTAGGGGGCATGCAAGAAGGCAATCACACATTGATGTTTCTTTCCTTTCCCCTCTCTAAAAATAAATAAATAAAATCTTAAAAAATAAAATAAAATCCTGTGTCTTTAAGTTCCAGGGCACATCAAGTTTTGTGTATCCCTAAAAATGGACACGACTTTTTGAAATAAATTTGCTTGTCTATTTTCCTTGATTTTACCAAATCAATGTGCTCTTCCCACTGTCCTGTAAATTACTACCACCTGCCCCTTTGAAGCTCCAGACCCCTATCCCTTTCCTTTGCTCAGAATAGCATACAAGTTCAAATGCCTGACTTTCTCTTGAGTCTCAAATTAAATTTGTTTTTTTTCCCTGTTAATCTGTCTTTTGCCAATGTAATTATTAGACCAAATAACCAAAACATACAATATTCCAAAAACCCATCTCGCAAAAGTCTTCAGAAATTATAAAGTGAGACACACACACAAAAAGAAAATCACCAATTCTATAAGACAGTGATTTCCAATAAAATCTTGGGCATTCTGCTAAGAAAGCAAAAGGTAGCACTGCTTCAGAGTAGTTCTGATACAGGTAGACCTGGCCAGATGGCCTGGTCAGGCTCCAGAGTGAGGGAAGGGTCTCAGGAAATGGCCAAGGCAGTGGGGGTGAAAGCATGGTGCTAGCTCCACATGTGCTGGCAGGTTTTCCTATCCCCAGGCAGAGACATGGCAGGAAGAGGCCCTTTGTGGAGTCTGAATGAGGCTAGAGAGTGATGGACAAAGGGAAAAGCCCTCCTATTCCCTTCTAGCACATGGTGGAAGGGGGAGGTGCTGTGACAGAGTGATAAGACCTGTCACTCTGGCCTGGGAAAAGAGTAGGACTGGCTAGGGGAGCTGAACCCTTCTCAAGTGCACAGAAGTTTGTGCCAGGATATTTAAATGGAGGGAAGACAGAAACATAGGCCCTTCTCTCTTCCTCTGGGATCCAGTACACAGACATGTGGGCCAGAGCACTTGTGGACAGGTAAGCCCTCGAAGCCATGGCCAAGCAGCAGACCCATGCCCCCAGCATGGGAAGCAGCAGTGGCAGCTGGTGGTGCTAGTTTTGTACACAGGCTCCAGGAAGAAGCCTGAGGCCCAACAGTGATGGGGAAAGAAGCTGAGCTGCTTGAATGATTGTGCAGCGCCATCTGCCGGGTTCCCAAAGGACAATATTTTCAAATGGGAGAGGGACTCCAGAAGCAGCCTTGAACTGATCTGGCAGAGGATGGTGAGGTTTTTCTCTGGGTGTTCTGAAGGGGATGGGCTCTGAGGCAGAAGCCTGCCATTCTTCCAAATGATGCAGTTTCTGAAGAAAAGACCCCTTTCCCTTTTCACCAAACTTGTCTCCAGTGTTTGCCTATGGGTGGTGGGCAACAGAACTCCAATTTCTGTTCAGTAACAGTTTCACTACTCTGCTCAATATATTTGGTTAGCCAAAAAGCTCAATATATGCAGTTAGCCAAAATGTCCATCTAGTTTTTTCCATAAAAGACATATTTTTCAATTTCACCAATAACTTTATTGATTTGGATATTTTCAGTATGCCAGCTATCTCCCACAAGGTAGAACATTGATTGTTCTCAATTAATGTGTCCATTTGATCGCTATCAACTTCGACTGGTCTATCTAATCATGGAGCATCACCCAGCGAGAAATCTGCAGCACAATTCTTTGCAAACGACTTTTGACCTGTTCGATCAGTTGCAGCACCTTCTCCATACACCGCACAAATCTTCTTTGTATTTCAGCTCCATTTTTACCTTTCTTGAAATAATAAATAATATGCCAAAAATATTGCTTATTTTCTTCCAACTTCAATATGAAAATGGCTACACAAAAATTCACCAATTTTGGTAAGTTTTCTAAAAAAAAAAGCACACTGATATAACAGCTGTCACAACACAATCTAACAAAATTGTTTCAAATGAAGTTAAAGACAACTAAGTAATACAAAAGCCATTTCATAGAAAAAAACAAATGAACTTTTTGGCCAACCTAATATAAGACTTCCTCAACATTTTTTCTTAAAACAAAAAGTTTAAAAACTATTACTACCAGGACATCATTAAAAAAACAATCTTCTGCTTTCCAGATTCATAAATTTTCAAGAATTATAGTTCCCAGGAAAAATGCTAATTAGAGCTCACTGTTACTGGTTTTAAAAGTTTATATAATGCTTACCTGAAAACTCGCCCGTAATTCCCATGTACTTTATATACACCATAGAGTCGATCTGCTACTCTCTGGAATAAAAAAATGCTATTATATGGTCAAAGATATATACATTAAAAAAACAAAAAACGCATGCTTAGTACAATATACTTGGAAAATATGGAAAAGAAAATACTTCAATCTCCCTAAGTCTTATCACTTTTGATATAGGACATTTAAAGGCAACAATTAATATACACAGAAAGAAGTATGAAAGTGATTACATAAATATGATGACAATGAGGCAGAATAGTAAGAAGCTAAGAAAAATTGTTGGAAAGTGGAATGGGGAAACTCAGACAGATAGCTGAACAAACTGGTTGAGTATTTTACCCCTAGCTAGGTCTTGGGGACCCCCTAAATGTGCATCTCCTAAACTCTAGGTCTTGGGGACCTAGAAAGGGGTAAAACTGGCACTGGACCTCGATCCCAGGGTGGCCCTTCTCCTGGTATATTGCTGGTCATGTGGTTTAGAATCCCTGACCTTTCCTCCCTAGACATAACATCTAGTCCTCACTTGTACTTCAGATTCAGGTCCATAAAAGCAGCAAAACCAGGGGTGTGAACTAGGACCAGCTGCAATGACTAATGACCCCCTTGCCCTGGTACTAACCAATCAGTAGAGACCACGACCCTGAAAGGGCACACCTCAGAAACTGAGGAATAGTCTATTGAAATCATCTCCTAAACTCCCAGCCTTTTTACAAACCCTCAAAACAAAGCTCTTTGGGAGCAGGCCCGCACCTTTCCTATAGGGAACTGTTCCACATGGCGTGGGGAATGTAGCCTAGCCCCTGATTCGGAAAACCAACAGGGAGCGAGGTCGGCACACAGGACCCATGCCCAGGGATAGGTTTTCACACGGGGAATCAGGCCTTCATTGTATCTAAGCTGCTATAAGGCTTGCTTTTGCTAAAACTCCCTCACCCTGAATTGAGGCAGCAAATGTTTACTGCGTATCTCTAAAGTAGCTTCTTAAAATCTGTGTGAAAGCTCCCAAGTATGGAGTGTAACCAGTTCAACCACTTTTCCCCTTGATCTGCAACATCCTTCTCTTTGAAGTAATTAGCAACATTATTTCCTTTGTTATCTGTAACAGGTAATCACCTACAGTAAACTTGTGCACAGTAAATAAGGACCATCCTCAATGTAATGTACCCAGAAAAGCAATAAAAGCCTGTCCAGGCAGGGGTCAGGGCCCTCTCTCAGAGAGTGGCAATGCCATCCTTTTTTCTCCACAGGACTTCTGTAGTTCATGTGAATTTGTTTGTCGCAGCCACAACACACGGGCCCTGAGGGCCGGAGTCCACACCACTTTCCTTTCCCTCTTCTTCCCCCACAGATGTGCATCTCCTAAACTCTAAGGGACCCCATGAGACTTGCAACCAGGGGAGCAATGGGCAAAGGCAGCTCATCCAGGGCAAGCCCCCTGAACCTCTCTCCAAGGCCCCCTTTTGTATGACTTCTCACTGACCCAAGGCAGCCCCACCTAGTCTCATTTCTTTCCTATAACATCTCTAGAGAGCCAAAGCAGTCCTGCTGGACTCTCCTGTTGCTTCTTCTATCCTAAGCCCTTTCGCACTCCTAAAAACACCTGGACTCGTGTTGTGAAATATTTCTTGCACAATGTCAAGAACCCACACATTACAAGCCTGCCCAAGGCAGACTCAGTCCCAGTCCCCTTTCCAGTAACAATGCAATTTTTTTCCACACGATAATATTTTTATCCAGCAGGTTAACTGATTCCACTTTAAATAGCTGCATAAAATTCCACCTGGTGTATATATAGACTATGTAAGCATTTCTTGTTGGATATTTAGTTATCCTTAATTTTTTTAGTATTGTAAATAATCTTGTAATAAGCTTCTGACAATAAGGCTTTTCCATATTTCAGACTGTTTCCTTATGGTAAAGTCCCCAAAGTGGAATACAAGGGAAAGACTATAGATATTTTCAATTCTATTGATAGTTTTATATATAAATGCTCAACACATGCAACATACTTCTATGCTTTTATCAAGGTAATTCCTTCTAACCAACAAAAACAGTAGATTTTAATTAACAAAGGAATTATAATTCAGATAACTGGGTTGAAATATGTACTGCCTAGCCATTCGCACACATTTTACAAAAGACAAAATGTAACACCACATGTGATAATTTGCTTTACTTTCCCCCAGTTTTATGGACAGAAACTGGAAGACCAAAAGTTAATCCCAGCCCTGGCTGGGTAGCTAAATTGGTTGGCATGTTGTTCTGATGTGCCAAGGTTCCGGGTTCGGTCCCCAGTCAGAGCACATACAAGAATCAACCAATGAATGCATAAACAAGTGCAACAATAAATCACTGTTTCTCTCTCTCTCTCTCAAATCAATTTTTAAAAGTCAATCCCATATAAAACCCTAAAAAACAAAATTGTACAGAGTTTCTAAATGTAAACCCCAAGGATAAATTAGGGCCCTAATTCCTTACTCACACAGAAATAATTTGAGGAATTAGGTATTAACCATAAACAAATCTTAACCCTTTCAATACTTCAGCTTAAAGTGAACAAAACCATCACTGCAACACTTGGAGTAGGCCTAAAAGGATCATGAAACGTTTTCCATCTCACCTTGGCCTGCTCTGAAGGAACACACATCCACTAGATGAGAGAGGAGCACACTACACGTTTGCAGCTTGCTTTTTGTAGCCTTTTTGGAACACAGTCATGCTCATTACTGTTATTGTCTATGATTGCTTTCACAGCAGTGCTGAATAGATTCGACAGGGATCATATGGCCCAAAACGCTGAAAATATTTACTATCTGGCCTTCAGAAAAAGTTTGCCAACTTCTGTACTAGACTCACCTTTCAGGACAAAACTCATGGAAATGATTCTGCTTGAAACTTTCCAGGGTTGTCCCCAAGTTCTCTAAACTAGTTTTTACGGCATATTATTTGCTAATAATTTTTTCAGAATCCTATGGAGTGGCAAAGGCTGTTTTTTTTAAGTGGTTCCTTCAAGTAAGCTGGGAAACATTGAGCTAATAAAGTTTAATGGGTGTCCTCTCTACAGGACATTTTAAATCATTAAAACTATATGAATCATGACTGTTCAAGAGAGAGATACTGTTTGCAGTAGGGAACATCTTTCAGGACTGGAACGCCAAAGAATACAAAATAGAATATTCCATTCTAGACTACTAACTTTTACAGATCCTTTTACTTTTAAAGATGAAACCTCCTCCTGAGAGTTGAGCATTTTATCATCCACCTAAAATATTAATCATGAAGGAGAGGGAGAGAACTTGTTAGACAGCAACATAAGAAAAAAACTAGCCCTGGCTAGAGGACTTCCAGTCAAGATGGCAGCACAGGCAGACATGGCTTGCTTCTTTGCACAACCATGTCAAAATTACAACTAAAATACAGAATAACCATCACTCAGGAATGTCTGAAATTGAGCTGAATAAAAAGTCTGACAACCATAAAATGAAAGAAACCGCATCCATCCAGACTGGTAGGAGGGGCGCAGATGCAAAATGGGCTGGTCCCACACCCACGTGGGTGGATAAAAATTCAGGAGGACTATCTCTGGGGCAAGGAGTCCCAGACCCATTCTAGTCCCCCAGCCCAGGATTCCAGCGCCAGGAAGATAAGTCCCCACAACTTCTGGCTGCAAAAACCAGTGGGACTGAGTTGGTGGAAGAAACTTCTGGAGCCCCAAGCAGTTCCTCTTAAATAACCCACACATGGACTCACCCACACAGACTTATTCTCTCTGAGCACCAGCACTAGGGTAGCAGCTTTAAAGGCACAAGTGGTATACAGGGAGAAACCGAAGTGTCCGGCATAAAGGCGGGCAGAGGCCAGTGTCCCTGTGCTAAACTCTCCCCACACAAAGCCGGTAAACTGGTGACATAGCTAGGACTCCTTCAACCTGGCTAACACTGTTTGACCCACCTTGGAGATCGCCAGAGACTCTGTCCCACCCAACTTACAGGTCCACTCAAGCTGCTTTTCCACAAGAATGGCTGGCTTGGTATCCAAATCCTTTCAAATAAGTAACAGCTGGCTTCAGTGAGCCCTAGTGCCAGCCAGATTAGATTCACAGCTTGGCTTAGCCTGGGAATCTCCAAACTGGGAATGAGTAGCAGCCATCTCAGATTGCTTTATAGCTAAAGCAGGGTGCCCCAGAAAAAACACAGGTTGGGGCTGACCTTGGCCTACACCACTGGGGAAACCCCGGAGCCAATGCACCCCATGGACAGCTACAGACCACGTCGGAGCACCACCACCTGCTGCCCCTGCACAGCTGTACCTCCAGGGATAGCAGAGGTAGATGGTCAGTGGTCACAGCCAATCCTTACAGCTGACTGGCCTGGATAAATCCCTCCCATTGATCTGTCAACATCAACCTAGGCTCAACTACAAGAGGAAGTTGTACTCAGCCCACATGAAGGGTGCACTTCGAGTACCCAGCTTGGGTGACAGGGGAGGCTATGCCACTGGACCCTACAGGACACCTACTACATTAGGCCACACTACCAAGACACGGACTCAAAGCAGCTCTACCTAATACACAGAAACAAATATAGGAAGGCTGCCAAAACTAGGAGACAAAGAAACACGGCACAAATGAAAGACTATATCAAAACTCCAGAAAAAGAGCTAAATGCAATGGAGATAAGTAATCTATTAAATACTGAGTTGAAAACACTGGTTATAAGGATACTCAACGAAGTTAGGAGCTCAGCAACATAAAAAAGACCCAGTCAGAAACAACAGATACAGTAACTGAAATAAAGAATAATTTACAGGGAAATAACCAGTACAGCAGATGAAGCCAAGAATCAAATCAATGATTTGGAACACAAGGAAGCAAAAAACAACCAATCAGGACAATAAGAAAAAACAATCCAAAAAAATGAAGATAGTATAAACAGCTTCTGGGACAACTTCAAGAGGTTCAACATTTGCATCATAGGGGTGCCAGAAGAGAAAGGGCAAGAAATTGGAACTATATCTGAAAAAATAGTGAAAGAAAACC